TTATTATCAGGGTAAAACAACTAGATATTATTAAGCGAGGCGGGGGCGAGGGTGAGTATGGGAGCAGGAGCGGGGGCGGGGTGGGTATTAACATCCCCATCCCTGTTCTCGCCCCCAATTTTATCAATCGGGAAAAACCCGAACCCGAACCCGAACCTGATAAACACGGGTTTTTCCCGTCTAAATCGGGACGAGTTCGGGCGGGTATCCACAAGGACGGGTTAGATCGCCATGACTACCCCCACGTATTATACATAACGTTTTGACGCTTCTCTTTATAGTGAAACTCTCATGAAGGTTCTCTTTTATTCGTTATATATACACGAGACCAAGAACTCAATCTCCACAATAAGTTGAGGACTCAGTGTCAATTCTCTCTTGTGATATGACAATGGAGCAAACACGTAGCAACATAAATATATCTGGATTATCTTTCTGTCTTAGAATTATCCTCAGTGATGTTGCATTTAATGGTTTCTTCTCAATTTTATTTTTTTGTTCCCGGTCTCTGTGGAATTGGGCCTTCCAAATTTGGAAACGTGAATGGCCCAAGCCCAGAAGCTACTCAAATGGTGAACCAGCGAGTGGTGCAAGAGTGTACAAAGAAGAAGTGGTTGAGATTATGAAAAAACTGGGAATAAGTGTTGAAGTAGAAGGTGGTAGAATAGGGGACTTTGGTGAACAAGAAATTAGTGACATGTTTGAAAATGAGGTTGTTAGCGTGGGAGAGTTGGAGGAAGCTTTCAACGTGTTCGATGAAAACAAGGATGGGTACATAGACGCTGAAGAGTTGCGAAGGGTGTTGTGTTGTTTGGGTTCGGAGAAAGACATTGTGCAGTGTCAGAAAATGATTAATGTGGTTGATCAAAATGGAGATGAACTAATTGACCTCAACGAGTTTTTCATGTTGATGGAACAGAGTTTTGGTTGAATCGTGTGTTAGTCTTGCATTGCAGGTGATGGTTTTTTTTTTTTTCTCTGTGGGGTCATTAGCATTTTCTTAGGCTTAATGTTTTACGTCATCGTTGTATATAAAAAAAAAAATATGTTCAAAACCTTTCCATGTATTAAGTTTGCTATGTTAATTCTGTAATTTATTTCATGTTTTTATCTAATAATGCAGTTAGTTACCTTACCATAAGGCATTTGTTAATGCTAAAAAAAAACAAATTAGAAATGACAAAATAAATTAACGTTATTATGTGTAGTTATTTGGATTTCATTTTTCTTCTTCGACCTTGTAGTGACTGTGAGAAAGGAATGTTAACGAGAGCAAAAATATTCAACAAATTAAACTTAGAAAAATAAGGAAATGTTTAAATGTATTTTTTAAATTTTTTAAACTATAAGATAAATTTGTTTTTTTTCCTTAAATTTAAAATTAAATTTTTTAGTCTATGTAATTTGAAAATGACTTGTTTCATCTTTCTATTCAAGTGTTACTAGTGAGTCTTATAATGACCCTATAGATCATTAGACTTAATGACTCAACTAATAGCTGCCAAAAAAAATAAAGTTACTATTACCTAAGATTAACATATTTATAATATCTAGATACATAGAGTAATTTTATACTAAAGTATGAAAAGAAATTATAGTTGTTGATCAAGCAATACTACTAAAATCTAGTTACATCAAAATAATTCAAAAGATCCACACTATCATCACTAGCATGACCCCAAATGAACTCAATCAGTAACTTATTTCTACTCTACTCTCATACCAGGTATGATCATCGCACTCTAACTACATATAATCATGCAAAGGTAAGTTAGATATAAAAGAATCCACAAAGAATTAGAATAGTTCCACTACCAACGTAAGCAACTTATATTGTTTCAATGTATTAGTGTGCAACTTGTCAACACAATACAACATGATGCTCATCTATAGTAACACAAGAATGCAACGCACACCATTCAGATAGCATGTGAACAACATGAACTTCAACACGTCGCATGCAAAACTTATTATTCAACTAGAGCCACACTACAACATGACATATGCATCACATAATTCAACAATTCAATCGCATATGCATAACAAATCAACTATATGCGTTGTCACGCATTTTAACTATAGAGATCTCTAACATAGGTAAGTAGTCTAAGAAGCTTGACCCTACCAAACTAACAAACAACTTTTTTCAATTCAGTTAGATCAACAACCAATTTTGGTAAAAATCCACACAACAACATGGTTTCTTGGATGTCACCACTTAAACTAGGAAGTCTAGTATTATTATCAGGGTAAAACAACTAGAGTGTGAGCCTATCACGAAATTAGCTAGCATAACTAAGTCACCTATGAGATTAGTTTGTCAACTACCCTCCAAATGCTACGTTCTTCCAGTACTTAGTTCGGGATTTTGACCCCTCAACCTTGTGTCTTACTCTAATTTGGTCGCTTTATACAAGTATGCCTTAACCTTGCCCACATATAGATCAACAGTGGTTGCTTGTAGTTGGTATGCCTTTACCTAACCCATATGTTGGTCCAAATAAGAATTAATCCACCTAACAAGATGAATTTTAAACCAAGAAAAATAACTAATACAAATAGAAATGACAGATAGAAGAAAACTAAAAAACTAATAACATTTGATCATGTTCATAGAATGCAGAAATTAAAGATGAGAGAAAAAGAAAGAAGAGCACCAAGTTTTACGTGCACTACAAGAAAATGACGATTTTGCGACAGTTATGTGGCCTACATTGTGACGGTTAGAACTGTCGCAAAGACACCATTGCGACGGTTCACAACCGTCGTAGAAATGTCCGTCACGAGTGAATTTTGCGACAGTTACTGGAACCGTTGCACAAACCGCCAAGCAAACCTTAACCATGGTTCAAGAGAACCATGGTTAGGTTGCTTGACCGTCCAACCTAATTTAGGAGGCTTGTGGAGCAATCTTCTATGCAAGCTAAGTTAGGAGCTTGTAGCATAAGCTTCCCAAAGCTTTAAGGAAGGAGAAGCAATTCGGCCAAGAAGGAACAAGGCAAGCTAGGCAGCCTTTAGACTATTTTGCTCACTAAATCCGTTTAAAAAATGTTTGATTTGGTTTAGTTAGGTTCATCGAAAAATGATGAGTCCTAGCTCAATCAAATCCTTTAAAAATTAGGAGCAAAACAAGTCTAATATGTAAAATTTTGCCTAGGCCCAATTCTGGCCCAATTACTAGTCACACCCTCAAGCATTTCTAATTGTCACCCCACTTCTACTACTAAAAAAATAGAAAAAAAGTGACTTTTAATACAAGGTTAAATGTAGTCAAAGTCTCCAAGTAACCTACCCTAGAAACAATATACAATGGTCTATAAAAATGGAATAAAGTGCCTCACAAATACAAAGGTAAAATAAACCTATACAAGTAACTACTATATTTATAAACATAGGAAAAGGTCTTAAAAATCATCCCATTCCTCTTGGTTCCTTTAATGTATCACCTCTTGGATTCCTTGGCCTTGGCATATTTCCATCATCCCCTCCCTCTTGAAAAGGATTTGACATCCATGCACTCTCCAAATGCAACCCTAGATGCCTCCCACTCCTATAAATACCCTAGGCTATGCATCATGTAAATACTTTGGAATATATGAATTTGAGTGAGCATTTTTTGCCTCAAATCCTCTCCTTAGTCAATAGGTCAATTCGGCCTACCTCTCTTATCTCCTCCTTAGAGTGAGTTTAGGGATACCTTGAATGGCCTTCACCTCCACTTAGTGAAGAGAGGCAACTAGAACACCTAAAACACCATTCTCCCTTCATTTCTCATATTCGCCCAAGCCATCACCATCTACGCCCACCTTCCTTTTTGCCTCACCCTTGAAGAACATCCACCCCCTAAGGTCAATATCTTGGCCTTGGCAAGGAGCTCCTCTTCACCATTGATGTTTGTTCATCCCCTTGGTGGAAGGAGTCCATCATTCACTATAATATTGTTTACAAATATTATGCACACACAATATTACAAGAATGCTAACACACATCAATCTTGATAGAACTCTTGAAGGATGATTGTTGATTTCTTTAAGTTCCAGCTTCAATCCCTTTCTTCTCTTGAGGTTAAACGTTCCAATGATGAAGAATCACCTTTGAAGAAGCTTCAATGGTGATGAAGCACTAAGAAGTGCTCGGTTACTCCTTGAAGAAGTAGAAGAAGATAAGGTTCCAAGGCACAAAGGTGGAAACCTTTGTGAAGGAACTAGGAGAGAAAATTCTCCATGGCCAAAGTGACTTTGAGAAGAGAGAATTATTTTAGAAATTCTGATTTCATTCATCCAAAGTGGGGGAAAATGGAAGGTTTACAAATTTATAGAGGTAGGTAGCTTATGGAGCAAGCTAACCTTAACCATGGTTCAAGAGAACCATGGTTTGACCGTCCAACCTAATTTAGGAGGCTTGTGGAGCAAGCTTCTATCTTAGCTTGCTTCCCAAGCAAGCTAAGTTAGAAGCTTTTAGCACAAGCTTTCCAAAGCTTTGAGGAAGGAGAAGCAATTCGGCCAAAGAAGGAACAAGGCAAGCTAGGCAGCCTTTAGACTATTTTGCTCACTAAATCCGTTTAAAAAATGTTTGATTTGGTTTAGTTAGGTTCATCGAAAAATGATGAGTCCTAGCTCAATCAAATCCTTTAAAAATTAGGAGCAAAACAGGTTGGGAGGAACCATCGCAATGTTGGAAAATTTTGCGACGGTTGGGAGAAATCGTCAAAATGTTTGAAAATTTTACGACGGTTTTGAGAGAAACTGTCGCAATGTTGAAAAATTTTGAGATGGTTGGGAGAAAGCGTCGCAATATTGGAAAACTTTGCGACGGTTTTGGGAGAAACCATCGCAATGTTGAAAAATTTTGCGACAGTTGGGAGAAACCGTCGTATGAAGGGTCGCAATATCAAAACAACGACGGTTTCAGGATAACCGTCGCAATTTGTTCATCGCAATTCATCATTTTTCTTGTAGTGTGGTTCAACCAATGAGGCCTACATCCACAGGAAGAGCAGCACCATTTCACTATGATCTTCAAGTAGTACAAGTTACAAGTCTCACAAGAACCTTCATCCTGTTCTAACACTCCTTATAACTTTCACCCTTACTTGTTAATCACACACCCACCAACCAATCTAACTTGTATTTATATTAAATACAAGAAAGAAAGATAAGAAAATAAAAAATACATAATACAAAGAAACTCATGATGAAAACAGAATCATAACAGTTTTAGGAACCAACTAATAGAAAACAGAAGTTAGTTGAGAAACTGATTTTGAGAGTCACACAGATTAACAAATCTCCACCTTGACTCTTAAAAAATCAGAAGAAGAACCCTTAAACCTCCATAGCTACTTTTCACATTCATTCTTCAATCAACTTGAAAAATTGACCAAGTCCAAGCAATGCCTGAACTTAGCCTTAGGAATTGACCAAGTCCTTTTGTTTCAACCATATCTCTAATGAAATGGTATCTAACATATATATGTTTGGTCCTCTCATGATAAGTATGGTGATTGGCTGAGTGAATAGCACTGTGGCTATCACAGTTTATGGTAACTCTAGGTTGATTTATGCTTAGATCACCAATCAATCCTTTTAACCATGAACCTTCCTTAGCTCCTTTAGTAAGAGCAATATACTCAGCTTCATTTTCTGACAAAGACACCACTGATTGCAGGTTAGCTTTCCAAGTTACTGCAGTGCCAAACGTAGTGAACACATAACCTATCAATGACTTTCTTGTATCAAGACATCTTGCAAAATCAGCATCAACATATCCAATCACAACATCTCTTTCTATATGACTTATTTTAAATCTCAAACCATATCCCAAAGTACCATTGAGATATCTAAACAACCACTTCAATGCATTCCAATGAAGTTGACCAGGATTTGCCATAAACCTGCTAACCAAACTGATTACATAAGCCAAATCTTGTCTACTGCACACCATGCCATACATGATGCTGCCAACCCCACTAGCAAATGGAACAGACTCCATCTTGATCCTTTCTTCCTCAATTTTAGGAACCTGAAAAATAGACAACTTAGATAGGGATCCAAGAGGTGTGTTGACAGGTTTAGATTGATGCATTCTAAACCTCTCAACCACTTTCTTCAAATAATTTTCTTGTGATAAGAACAATTCTCCCTCATTTCTGTTTCTAATGATGTCCATTCCCAAAATCCTCTTGGTAAGGCTAAGATCCTTAATTTC